CTATTCGCTCGCAGAGCCGAATCGAAACTCCTCCGGCACGTGTTCTCCCGGTAGCGGCTCGTGCGAGCGGGCGGTCCCGCGCGGCAAACTGGCGCGCGCCATGCGCGCTCCGCGCCGCTCATGTTCGCCGACTGCGCGCGACATAGCAACTGAATTCGGTACTGCAGTCCATGAATTCCGCAGATTCTACCGTCATACCTATAATAGCAGCTGCGGCTATTCTCTCTCGGCGCGTTTTGACTCGCGAGCGGATAACGGAGGTTCCGACGGAGCGCGAGCGAGTACGGGCGGCGGCATGACGGAGACGCAGAATGTACGGAGCGGCCTCCTCGGATAGCTGATCGCCTGATACATCGGCGCAGCGCCGCAGCGCCACGCGTCACGGCGAGCACCATCGCAACGCGCGGCGCCCTTACGCCGGCCACCGCGACGCGGCTGTGCCGTGGCGCTTTGATTCCTTCCCGCGAGCATCGTCGCGATGCTACGACGACGCTGACGCCCTCCCCGAATCGAGCGTCCAGCAACGTTTGGCATACGAATGACGATGAGCAGCAGTGTGCCAAGATGTTCGAGCACCTTAAGCCAACTATAGGCTGAAAATTCTAGCACGAGAAGCAAGGACTGCGTTGCTCTTATTTCATTTAAATGTATAAACCAATCACATATTAAAGAACACTGCAAATAAGCGGCTTTTCCTCTGAACGCAGTCAAAAACCACAATCTTGCGTTATCCAAAACCCGCTTTAGACAATCTTATTTTATAAAATTTTCGTAAGAATTCAAGATAGAATTCTATTTTATATGCTATAATAGAATAACGCTATAATTTGAAAATCAAGATACGTATCATATAAAATGATTAAATATATACAACATATAAAATTAAAATAGAATTATATCTTGACACTTCTTGAACTCCTTTAGTAGAGTCAGAGAATCGAACTTCATAGTAGTCTGAAGCTTATTCTCAACCAATATACATTAATGGATTTACATAAAGTGTTTTGAGTAGGTATAAATATTTGTTAATAGTAAAAACACGTAAAACTGCAGTTTTTTAGGAAGTCGATTATCGTTAAAATTAAAAAAATTTTGTTTTTGATTCGGCGACTTTTCTGATGCATTAATTAAGTAGATGCGAATTATATATAGATCGGTTAAAATAGGCTTTAAAAATCGATTGATCTTGAAACTTTTGGGTTTAAAAGAAAGTTGCGTTTAAGAGACAACTTTTTTTTTTGGTTTAGCAAGGTGAATTTTGTTTCACTAGAATTTTTATTTGGACCTTAGCGTGCCAGTTGAATAAGATTATTAAGATATATTCTAAGAATTAATCGAGAACATCTGCAAATATCTTATTAGTTTAATATAAATATTTTAGTACAATTTTTTATTTTGTTACTAACAATAAGTTCTGCTTCTGATATCTGATGATGCCTGATTTAAAAGGCATTGTCAGCGTTTATCCAGCATCCGACGCCACCTCTTGGTCGAAAGATATACGAACAAGCAACAGTCATTCTGCAGCAACAACTCGCATACTGATGCAACAATCAGTAAAATGTTTTCATGGTAGATGGCAATACTGATGAAGTTGAGTCTCTTTACCATGTGTTCTAAAATTTTGTCTTGCTGATTAGTTGAATACCGCGCTGCGCGCTGGTATCGTCAAGAATCACTTAAGATTTAATAACGTCGATAAATAAATGTAGCTCATTTTGCGAAAATTACATTCTTTCTTTGATTTAAAATAATCTAATCCAACATTTGAATGTTGTTAACTTATCATAATATTAATTATTGATTTATACACTGATTTATGATAATAATGTACATAATATATGTATATATATTTTAATAAGAATTGAAGTTTAATAAAGTTTTTTCTTTATGAATTCTTATTTTAGGCTGATATCGCAGTCATTATTTTTGAAAGACATTTGATTCGATTTTGCTAAAAATTGTATATTTATTTATAAACTTGTCATATATATCGAGTGAACACTGAGTTTCTTAGATACTTCTAGCCATGTGTCTTTCTTTTCTTTTTTGGTATCTGTGCGACCTTATACTACCTTATAATAGAAAATGAGTGTAAAAACGCACTCAATTATTCTACATCATTCAATCCTAAACTTGGCAAAACTAAAGAAGCAATCTTAACTCGATAATTGTGATAAAGCTATTAAAATATCATATTAGAGAGTTTTACTAATTATAAACAAATTTCTAATGTTATTTAAAAATAATAAAACATTAAATTATATATAATAAATTACATCGATTTAAAAAGTTAAAAGCCTCATTTCAAATCTTTAACATGATTAAATATTAACATGATCCGTGCCGAAACAGTTTTAAATGACTTGATTCACGCGACACGGAACGTATTAAAAGACAAAAATTTATGCGAACTATAATTGCCAAGTTGAAAGACTCATCAATTGATCCTAAAATCCGAACGCAATAAAAAAAAAATACTGTTCCGTTTGGAATATGTTGTGTTGCAACTTTCATCGCCACATTTGATTTGCAATCTCTTATCAGAGTCTAAACCTTCTCGTTGAAAACGTTATGAAATTGTTTTGGTTTTGAGAGGAACCGATTCCGTGATGCCATCTTCTACACTGGCACCGTTCTCTTTTGTGTGATTGCTGATCGGATTGTTCCAGCTCTGTAACTCGCCGGTGCCAAAAATAGCGAATATCACTGCACCGCAGAAGTAGATGGCTGCTAGAATCCAGAAAATGATGGCCCACTGCGTGTAGGTTTGATTTTGATACGTGATGTTACCGACCATAAAAGTGCTAAGGAAACCTCCTATCGAGCTGAAGGTGTTGGCGATGCCGAATATGGTTCCGGAGAAATTAGGCGCGATATCGAGACCATTCCCGAGGTAACCAGCTGTTACGGCACCGTTTATTGTCAGAGCAATGGTAAATATAATGACCGACGCTGTACGATCGCAACCATAGTACGCTTGGATCACCATGAGGATGCTGGGAACTAGTAGAGCTAAAAATGAGAGATTTTTTTCCATTAGCCGAAAATAAGATTTTTTCGTCCAATTGTAATATCGATACTTTATCAACGCGTTAATTGCTATTTTAATCACTAGTCATTAATGCTATCGAATTTTTTTAAAACGCTTGTTGAAAAAACAGATGCCATCTAATATGAAATTTTTAATGATGTGTAACTACCCGAGTAACAAGGTGTGGTGTTTTAATCTGTGTTATTAACGTTAAAGACGTCATTTAACGTCTTGTTACTTGGGTACATAATAACGGCAAGTTGACGATAAATAACGTCTGTTTGTTTGCTGGGAATATAAAATAAAATAGGTGCTTTTCAACATATTATCCATGAAGATAGAGTCTTATTTAATCATTATACAAATTTATATTTATGATAATGAAAATTCTATTGTAGTCTACAGATAAGTGTATTGTGGTAAAAGACATCTACTTGGAAAGAATAATTTTGCTGAAGTATCTAAAAATTTAAGTAAATACAAATCTGAAAATAATCTAGACCATTAAGATAATTATGTAAGGAACTGAAGCATGATGAGCAATACGCAAAAAGTTTTTACATTTCAGGAATCAACTTAAAAGTCCTATACATAATTATTTCGATAATCTAATACAATTTTCAGATTTCTCTGTATCTCTCTATATTAAATTTTTACTTTAGATTTAGAGTAAATCGTTCTTTCCGTATATGTTGTAAAAGCTGAGCAAACAACGTGTTAATTTGTACATCCGAAAAGAGTTTGTATAAGCCTGGTTAATTAAAAAATTTGATATTATTGTTGTAATTGTCGTAAAACAAGAAACATAGAAGAATTCTGAGATCGTTTGCGGACATTTTACTCACCGAACGTTGTGAAAATTTTACGTATTGCCGTCACGGATACCTTATTATTACGGCGCAGGTAATCGGCCAAGGTAGCCGTTGATAAGGCAAATATGTATTTGCCTAAATAGGGTAACGAGGATAACAAGCCGTTCTGTAAACATTATTTTCATTAATATGTATATCTATGCCATTAGAGAGTTATATATATTATTATATATAAGAATTATACATACACATATATGTATAATATACACAAATTCTTATTAATAAATACATTTCCATCGAATAGTATGTCATAGTTTTCACAAAGACAACATGCAAAAATTTGATCCATTAATATAATTGACGAGATATACCTCTTTAATGTTGAAGTGTAAAATATACTTCATGTAAGTCGGAAGTTGACTGACAATGGTGTGATAACCATAGACGCTGCACGCATGCGTCATTATAATAGCCCAAACAGGCCCTGAAGTAATAAGTGCGCGCCATGGTACCGGCAAATGCTGTTAAAGTATTGCATTAATATTTTAAACATTGATTATAAGATCTCGCAAAATAAGAAGTAAAACAGAAGATCTGTCAAACGAGACTAATAAATAAATCTGTCTCAATCTATCGTTATTTTAGAAAATTAAATAAGATTAATAAAGATAAACTAAATTATAATAAAATGAAAAAAATAGAATAGAATAGAATTCGCTCTCTGGGACTGAACTAAACGCTTTGTATTATATTATTACAACCTTGGAGGTGGTGGTCGTTCCAATTGCGCTTTCGATAGAGTGCCGCTCCTCCGCACTAATGCGTGGATGCTGTGACGGTGAATCGAACACCAGCAAGAACCACGCCACGCTCCAGATAATCCCGATCACACCGGTTACATAGAATACCGACTCCCAGCCGAGCGAGGCGATGAGGAATCCGCACATCAACATAGTTAACGCGGCACCAAGCGATGAGGCTGCAAGTAATGATACAAGTTTACGGCGCGGCAATTGACGCAATCGCGCATTTTCATCGCGACCATAAAACGAACTATGTCTGTCTTGCGTATACGTTTCGCAGTTTCTCGAGAACGAGGGCGATAAACGATTATGGCATCGATTGGCCTCGATTTCGCGATCGCGTGGCGAATTAGATCATGATCATTTACCCATCATGTGAGAGACAAACTTGCTACGCTCCGTCGGTGGAATCCATCGAGCAGTCATTGGCTGGATGGCAGGCCAGGTGGCACCCTGATTTACGAGACGAATCAATTTTGAGAAATTGTCAATAATGATTGCGTGATCGTTTGCAGTCACGTGAAACTCGATCTCGATGACTGTATAATTATAGATTACGTGCAGAGAAAGATGCTCGATAGATTCAGATTTTCGTTTGTTAGATCGTTTCTCACGAGGCGGAGATATATATGCGTACATTTATTGTAATTAGCATGATTCCTAGATGAAATAAACGACGTACCATCATAAATCCTAGGACGACCCTTAATGCGACGACCATGGTGTAACCGAAAGTGGCCGACAGTGGTGTCAATAGAGTGATAAAGCTCGACACCAGCATACTATAACCGAAAACCCGTTTGGTACCAATTATCTCCGCAAGCCGGCCGCCAGGAAATTCCGTGCAGATGTAACCCCAAAAGAAACCGCCGATGATCATATTCACTTCATATTCATTCCACGGATATTTGGTCTGGACTCGTTCCTCCTGAGATAGAAAATCAAGGAATTCTCGTAAAAGTCGTAGGATTCGGGGAAAATGGAGCAAAGCAAAATATCCCGTAATTGTAAGAGGAGGCGAATTAAAAGCTAGGAAGATCATTTAATCTCGATTATTTAAGATATTTCTCGCCTTGATCAATGAAACACGAATTCGAATGAATCAAAATAGTTTTGATGATCAACAAAAACAAAGCAATTCTTAAGACTCTGCCTATACAGCACAGAAGTAATATTTATAATGTTAATGCAACATTGCTGGAACGTTGCAATGTTGCTGCAATATTTCTGGAATAATCTGTGCTGTATGGTTGATTTTCTGATTGACGGTTAATCGCGATCGCATAAATTACGTATTTGTCGTATTTAAAATTGTATTTCGTTCACGCGATGTATTCGCCATGGCCGGCGATTATTGACGAGGTCATTCACCGTGCAAGTTCGGCACTTTACGTGAGTTTCAACGAACCCGGTGCCAGTGTGGGAACACTGCGTGCGTGCTGCCGTTGTTCACCTCGTTGACTCTATTAACATCGATATCGATCGCCGGGGTCCTGGTGTCCATAGGGGTGAAGTCGTTCATCATCGTCGCCTGGATACCGCACTCATCCGACACCAACGCCGATCCGTTGGAATGCAAATGTGGACCGCTACTATTGCTTGGTATCACCATCGAAACGATTGCTATCGTTAGATTTATGCGCAACATATAGTTTAACATAAAGCCGAGAATCACCATGATATTCAGTACCTGACTGCATGTCAAACAATCTGAAAAAAACATTTGCGATCATTCATTTTACAGTCAAGTCCGTGACTCGAAATCGGCCGTGAACATTCAATCGATGCATTAAACTGTTACTTATTAGTGATTGATTTTAATGTTTTTATTTATTTATTTCTTATTCATTAAAAAATTATAAAATAAGATATTTACATTTTTGATAATGATGAAATAAAATGTAAGTATATTGCTTAAATTATATGATACGTACAAGAAAAAAAGTATCTAACAAAATCAATTAATTTAGAAGAATTATACTAATCATCTTTAAAATTATTGGTTTTCTTCTGAAAATTAATATTTCCAAAAAATATTTATATTACAAAATAATTATGTATATAGAAAAATATTATGTTATATTTTAATGTAATAATTTTTTTACGATTATTTATGTTACGTTTTAACAATTTTTTTTTCTGTAGTTTAATGTATTTATTAAATATAAATTTTGTTTAAAATTTCAAGTTTTAATTTTGTTAGCTGTTTTCTGTAATGTGTAAAAATATTTTTAAATTTATAATGGTTGTTGAAATCTGAGAAAAACCACATCCTTCTTGACTTCCGTCTGTATACGAGTGACGTCAACCAATTTTATTTACATTGACATTGTTTTGTCTGATTCTGAGATTTCTTTTATATGATTACTGTCAGACAGAGTGTGTGTTGAAAACAGGACGTACTTATACATACTTATATGTCTACTTATATACGAGCTTCAACTCACAAGCGTCTATGTCGCATGTTTCAAGTGCCGTAAACAATTTTTACGTAACATCAGCATGCAATACACGCGACTTATACCTATAACTTTGGTCCATTATCGATCTCAGTGCTATTGTACACAATTGCGATTCATCTCGAGGTTATAGGTGGGGATCAGGAAGATTTTCCAACGTACGAGATATTATATTGGACTGGAACAAAAGTTTATAACGTTACTTCATTTGTCTTGCGTCAACATGTTTAAAAGATTTAGCAATGATATCACTTGATAGACTAAACTTCAGTTTGATGTTTCAAATTTCATGTTTTTTGAATTGCGCTATACAACAATTTTTGACGAAGTTATAAGTGTTATATCAAAGTCGAAATACTCCTTTTATTTAATCCGTAATAACTCACCAAAAAAATCTTAGGAACATTAAAAAAAAAACGATTTTATAGGAAAGAAAAGTTTAAGCTTTTATATTAGATGGTCAAAATCACAAGTTTTTTTTTGGACAGACCCACAAAGTGAGAGAAAAATTTTCCATTTTATCCAGCTCATAATTTTCTATGTGTAAAAATGATCAAAGTCGTAAAAACTCAAAGACATAATAATTTTTCAAAAACAGTGATTTTAACTTCTAAAATACTTTTTTAAATTTAAATTTTATTCATTTTTAAAATACAGCAATTTAAATTTTGAAGCTCGTATAGCGTTACGTTTGTTCCAATCCAATACTTTCTTTTGATTATTGAACGTTGCATCATAAACAGAATGTCGAGTTGCCACAATTATGTTATTGAAAATTACGAAATTGAAATGTCTTCCGCTTTGAATGCGAATTATTGTAAGTGGAACATAATTAAGAGTTTATCGCGATTATGCCAATTCATGACCGATTGCGTTTGTTTTGCTTTAATAAATTGTCATATAATCTTATTAGACTATTCAGTCATAATCATTTCGATGATTTTCTCGTTCATTGGCAGACTGCCGAAATTATTTCAAGAATGACACGAACCAGCCAATTATTTTCCCTTTCTTTTCCTCGTTCACGCGCACGTCACGCAATTTCGCAAATCAGGAAACACGTTGAAGTATGTAAGTTCGCAAGTTCCATATTTCGCAAAACGTTACGTCAGTATACCGAAGAAAGAAGCTTGCAGACAGAAGAAGCGGACAAGCTCGTGGCATTTCATCGCAGAGCACAAACAGGCGCACCTCGTTCCCGATATTAATAGTCAGCATTAGGTCGCCTTGCATCGTTCGCTTTGCATGCACTACGTGATCGTATTCGCAAAGTCGACTAGTTACTTTGCTTATCGCGAATTTGCGTCCGAGGTTATCGTAAAAGTTACTGTATACACATAATAAATCATATTTTACAAGTATCAAAATTTCATCCAGTATAGAAACTAATGACAAATTTTCTTGACCTCATTTAACATCTATTTTGTCTGGAAATACGAATTGAAAAGCAATATGTACGTAATTTTCAAAAGGAATTATTAAAAAGGAATAATTTTTGAAAACGAATTAGTTGGAAATAAAGTTTATTTACTGCGATATAAGTAAATAAGATCGCTAATGAGATTGTATAATCAAGCAAATTGATTTCATGTGGACTTTACCTCGGTAGAATTTTAATTTATTTATTTACGAGAAATAACAGTTTACTTCATATTTACTTCGATAGTGTTAAGTCAGCAGTACAAACGTCAATTTACTCCGTCCCTAATTATTTTTGTCTTTGACGCATTCAGTTATTACAACACAGAAGCGCGTGCGAAGCGACAAATAAGTTGTGCCTCGTTGCATAATCGCATCGTATATCTGTCTGTTTTCGACGACGAAAGGGAATAGTGGTCATCAATACTCGTACAATTAGGATTTCCTGAATAGACAAGGTATATAGTTGCGGTGTTGCAATGAAGAGGCGACACGGATAATTTGCGAATTAAACGTTCGTCGATGCGGAGACCTATGTCAGTGTTGCCGATGCAAAGTTGTGCTTTAACCATCGTGTCTGACGTAACCAAAACCGTGAGTAAGGTCGAATGAAACTGCAGGCAGGTGCATTCTTATCGCATGGAAATAACATTGTTATTTAGATTTTAGCGATTTTTGTGTGTTGAAGTTATTTTTATATTTTTCCGATCACTTCCGACTTTATATGTACAAAAATTGTTTAAATTAATAAAAATAAATAATACTTTTTAACTTGCTAGTTAATGTTCTTATTATTATCGCTTAGCTGACTTCTTAACTAATGAAAGATACGAAAAGAAACGCAACTGATCTGAACTGTACATATATTCTGTATAATAGTATGAATCAAGTATTTCTTTTATCTACATTTAATATGAATATATATTTTCTTACATGTGTTGTTTTATAGTTTTAATTTTTTTTTTTAAGATTTATTTGTAATTTTATTTAGCATTATAATAAAATTTTGAAATTGACTTAGTTTTTCTAATTAACTTTAGTTTTTTTTAACTGAGGAAATTTGACTTGCGTTGATACATTACACTTATAAAAGGTGTTTAATTTTAAGATAGTAAACTGTTTTATATTTCTTGTCTTCACTTGTTAAATATTTACAGATATTTTAATTTTAAATAAACATGCAAAATGCTAAAAAGTATTTAATTTTGGAAAAAATATTTTATTCGAAAATACAATAAAAATGTTTAAAATGCATTACTTGGAAACACTTGAAAACGTTCAATTTAAAAAAATATTTTTAACGATGTTTAACTTTTTGAAGCATATTTTACTTGAAAACACTTAACACGTTTAGTTTTAAAAAAATGTTCTAAACTAAAAATTTAAAGTTAAAAAGTTATTTTTAGTACTAATTATTAGCTCGTTTAAATAAATATTTGACCTGGTATGCTAATGTAAGAATTTGTTTTATTATCATACGAGCGAAAGTTAACTTATGAATAATCTAGAATTGTTCATTTTAATTATTATTAAAGTTAAAAGTTGTTTTATTTTGTAAACGGAGACAAGAATAAAATATTTTAACATCTTAAAACTAATCACTTCTTTCTTTAATGTATATTGTTTTTCTCTACGTCATAGGTACAAAGAAATGTCAGTGGTGTGACGACAATCATTAAATTAATTAAAAACGATCTGTGTATTTATATGTTTTTGTTTATGTATTTATATGATATACTTTATACATATATTTACGATACATAATTATTTCACGTTTGCTCTAAATTACCAAATTAATATTGCAGCATTAACAGTTATGCTATAATGTATTAAATAGTTATAGTATTTGACATTTTACCATCGTACTTTTTATTTCAACGCACCAGCCGTATATTCGCGCATTGAAATTGCCTTGGAGAGGTTGTGATCCCCATGGATGCAATTCGGACGATTAAAGAGGAGTGTCTATTTAAAAGTCCAATCTGACCGATATAATAATGACATTCGCAAATCGAGAGGTTGCCCGCCACGCGTGTCGTGCTATCCACTTAACCGCTATTGCGACTATTACGCTCCCCGATCTGTAGCAATAGGACTTGGTGCTTGCGAGGAATATAAATCGCGTTTTTTTTTTAGTATTTAAAATTCGTATCAACTTTGGACGTTGTTCGCTGATAATAGTGACGCACTAATAATGCACATTATACGGTTTTAGTCCGAGTTAATGCGAAAAATTTTGATTATCAAACGAAATAGCGAGATTGACACACGTAAATGAAGAAGATAAACAAATCGACGAAGAAGATAAATAAATCGTTCGAGGTCGATTACAATTTAACATAGTTTAGTCAATTCACAGATGCTACCAATTCTAATATTTGTTGCTATTTTTTATTCTAATGAATACTATATTGCATGTCGCATTATTAAATTAATTAAAGCGACATTACATATTAATATGACAGGAAGTAATATGACTGAATTGTTTTATTAATTACACCGTTTGATAAAATTTGACATTTTTTTGCAATAGGAGTTATTGTGAGTAGTTATTTCCAATGTATTTTTGCTAAATACGAATTCCTTGGTCAAATTTAGCTATTACATCACAGTCTTAAGAAAAATCAAAGAGGCTAAAAACAACGATTTTGAAGGTTTTAAAAATGTTTTTAAGCTATTGCAGCACCAGCAGCAAATATCTTTCTAAATTTCATTAATACCCACACGAAAGTATCGCATAACTTTTAGTTTTAAAATGCATTTTATATTGATATGATTTTTCATTTTCCAGACGTAGCAATTTGAAAATAGCTCTTTTCCTATGTAATACATGGAAAAAGCATTTTATTCTCTATTTTAATTCCTTATTATGTGGAAAGTTAGTTTCTGTACTCATATAATCGGATCGCATTAAATCAAAAGCAATATAAAATTGATAAGATACATTATGGTATATAGGAAGATTATAAGTATAATTTTTCAATCGTATATTGTATTTTGTCAATTTCATATTTCTGTCATAAATTTATATAGAACATGTTAATGTCTGCCAATTACACATCATTGCAAGTCAGCTTGGTCAGTACTTAGTGCTGCTAATCACGATTTTTACAGTGATTTATACTTGATTATCAAGCCGGTTTCACTTGAGCGCAGGGTTGTGTCGTCGATGACCTCGATAACGTGATACTGGTTTTTACAGTCGGAAAACTTGGCTGAATGATACGATTTAATCGGAACAGAATGACCTTTGCATTCTCGAAAATAAAAATTCCGAAGTCGCATAAGCAACAAGTATATTACAATATTTAAACATTAAACATCTTTGTCTTTTCCTTCATATCTATGGTATAAAAGATTAACACACTCAGCAAATACCAAGTTACATATAAAGTATGTATTAGTTATAATTTCTTATTCGACAATATAACTGTTATATAATGCGCATGTTACAGTTGTATTGTTAAGTGAGAAAATACAATTAAAACAGGTGTGTTGCCTGTAACTTTGTGTTTGGTCCGCAGAATAGTGCACGAAATATCGTACGATCTACTCGTATTTTTTGAATATAAATGATTGATATAATTGTAAACTATTCGTAAGGCATTCATTCAAGCGTGTGGAAAATTGTCATTAGTAGATGTTTGCAACAAGATATTTGTTTCATCTCACGATCTCATGGAGATGCATTCTCGCATTGAAATGCATGACATTTTTATGCGTCATCGTTTATGTCGTAGATCAAACACTATCGTGACCTTCACCCAGAACTCTGTGCACGTTCTCCTCTATGAGCTAATCATAGCGATTTCGTCGTTTCGCGAAGGCCCGAAATAGTATACCTGCGTGCTTTTCTTAGAGTCGAGTTTAATGACTTGCAGAATTGAGGGTCAGAAGCATCGATTCAGGTCAATACACGAGAAACGACGCAGACGGCATTATTATACATATCTATCAGATATATTCGTCGTTGCATGTATTCGCATTTAATTGGTCGAAGATTAGAGGCTGGTGCGTCGCGTCGTCGCGTGAATTACATACAAGCATTGAACTATCAACACGCATCGCCTTCTGTGAACGTCATATGCAAATGTCGTTGACGATATACCGTATTAACCTCAGCAATGTGGAGGTGAGGATTCAAAGCGAACGACGATAGCAAATTTTCAATTGACTAGACTCATTTCATGTAAACTTTATTCGAAGAGAGATCATAGATTACGCAAACGATCATTTCCTTTATACATATGCATTAAACGTGAACCGTTAATACGCTTTGATATCTTATGTTTTATATTTTACATCTTACATTACTTATTTGTGTAAATGTGAAATTTACTTATATTCTTTGTAAGTATTCTTTAAGACTTTATTGACCTCTTTTGGTTGCTTTATATTTAATGCATATTTCAGAATTAATAATATACCTTAAAGTACGTGCATATTTCTTATAGTAATGAATATTTTATAACTTTATAAAATTTATTATTTAAAATGGCATCTTATGTATGTATATATATCGCAGCCTTTTTACGAAATCAGCCTTTTTGGAAAAAGGCTGCGACATATATATCATTTACATATTATACAGGAAGCTGACGTTTCTATTACTTTAATTCACCATCAGTTCATCGAATTACGCGCCGGCTTCTTGACGAATCATCATCCCTTCCCGTAATAAAGAATATACTATTAACGTCTAAGCGGAAGCCGCGTTCGTTGCCGTCTGTCGCGAGACACCCGTATAACTCAAGTATAAATCCGTTCATTTTCATTTAAGAAAATTATGTCTCTGTAGATTTTTTGAGAAATAAGAAATTATTTTTCAAGAAACGTAATCTACGATATTAAAAATACAGTTAAATGATATTAAAAAAGGATATGGTCCAATTTATCATCAAGTAATTTTAATTGGTGTGCTTGTGAATATTGAATTATATTAATTAATTAATACAAAAAATTATTGAACTCAGTTTTATAGTGTTATTTGTTTGAAATCGAAAAGCTAGACTCGTGCAAGTAAAATACGAGATTAATATTGAATAATTAAGCAACAATAAAATTATAAACTCCTTAATAATACAATAAGAAAATACTAATATATAAAGCTAGGAGTCAACCTAAGTTGTTATATTACGAAATTAATTTAAACAATAATTTACATTATATATGTACGTATTGACTCCAGTTTGAGTCATCCTCAGCAATTAAATCCATCGCAACAGTATCTTTGTTTTGTATGTGGAACAATTTATGAGACAAGAGTGAGTTGTCCAAAATACAAGATGAAACAAACACAATCGTCTAAACTAATTATGACTATGTGATCTATGTTATACCATCGTGCTAATAGTGGAAAATTTAATAAAACCAATTATGGAATTTTTAGTCATTTCTGCAAGTTCAAACGTTCGATAAATACAATAATGACATTTGTTATGTATTTAGAGAATAGTATATGTTAACCTTGTAACCGTGCAACTTGCTAACCCAAATGTATGTAAACTTGTATTTTAACTCAATAAAAGTAGGATTATATCACGATAAACAGCACAAAAATTTCTTCAGTCCTTTGTTAAGACTTATATTACGTTTCCTATTGTGAAACATTAATTATATTACGCTTATTTTATAATAAATATTTCAAATAATTATATCGCTGTTCAATGATATTTATGATAATGTAACGTTTGATCTCTCCTCATTGTTTTTATTCTTCATATTCACTTTATAAATATATTTCATATATTTTACTTTGTTGTATGTGTGTGTGTGTGTGTGTGTGTGTGCTTATTCATTTATTTTATTAAAATTATTGTTTAAAATAATTATTTTATTAAAATAAATCATTATGATCGTTTTCGAGTATTTAAAGCGATAACAAATTATTTTTATTCTTCTAATCTCTTGTTTCGTTAATCACCATCACTTACCTAGCATACTACGATTGGATGCCATTTCGCCGGTATATGATAATGATGATTGTAAACGCTCCTCACCGATCTTTCTGTGTTTCTTAATTTCAGCACTTTCTTAAAAATCAATTTTAATTTTTAATTTTTTTTTTAATTACGAGTTTTAAATCACGAAATGACTTATATTTCTTTTAATTAAATGCAATTTTTCACGTGTAAATCACATGTCACTCGAACGATACTTGACACAAGAAAAAACTTTCAACCCCTTTGAAGGAGCCTGAAAAAGCTTGTTTTGCACGCTTTGACTAGCACAGCTGCCTTGTTCACTTGCCGCGCTTTAACTGTGCTCTGCTCTAAACGCTGCCAAAAATCTCAGTTAAATTGTGGCGCTGACTGCTCAGAAGACGAAAGGCGAAGAAGAGGCTCGTCAATAGCGTCAGCGTTGCGACACCGATGTCTTCCGCGGGCTGCGTCGTTCTCCCGTTTCGCGTTTCGCTTCGTTCCATCGTAACGTTCTTCGATGTCGTAATGAAGGCTGCGTGCGATGAACGACGAGGTGGTAGAGGGAAAGAGAGAAAGAAAGAGGGGCACGACCACGCACGTCACAAGCGTCCTCAGTTATATACAATGACGTGCTTTGTTCGCCGCGTCGAAGAGAAGATGAATGCACCCTGCGAAATGGCAAAATATACCCCATCGAATGGTTTTTCTTACCCTCATGTCTGCTATCCGAAGGGAGGCGAAACTCGAGGATTCAGTTAATCAAAAATTATTAGTCAAGTATTAGTGAATCAAAAATAATATTTTTCTTAATATTAAAAAAAATATTTAAAAATGTTGAAAAATTAATCTTCGGATGCGTTAACGTGATCTTGTACAGTTCCTGTAGTGTTTTGTTCTTTTTTTAAATGTATATGGTTAAATGTATAACATTTTTTTTTCAAGCCTTCTTTTTCCACTTAATTAACAGATGAATTATAAACTAATTTCCTATTGTTATGTTCATGGAAGTTATTTCTTCTTGCAATTAGATATACAAGTAATCCATTATTGTTTGTTTAATTTAATATTAATTATATAATAAATTGAATAATTCAATTTTTATTTGAAAGTAATTCTCATTACTTTTTAATACATTTTTCCATCTTTTAGGCAAATTTTTTTACGTATTCGGGCTTAATAGAAAGAGTAATCTTTACTCGCGTTGAATTCATCAAGTCACTTTCTTCGACATTTCTAAATTGTTTGTCAAATAAAACGTGCTACAGAACCAATCGATTGGAACAAATCTGAAGGCGTTAGGATAGACCGAAGTGAATCGAATCACAGAGTGAATCGAATCAACATAAGCTTTGAGACAGTCGTTAAGTTTGTTGTTTCAAATAAGCTTGTTTTATCATGCTAGTTACTTCTGCGCTTTCTTTATAAAACAATAGATATCTAACAGTTCTGTTTATCTCAAAGCTTATATTGATCTCATTCGCCTTGGCTTATTGCCATGAGGCTGAGCAAATTCTCATTTCGGTCCGATTGTCTATCTGATTGTGTCTATCATATACACATAATAGATATATAGACTTCGCATTCCTCGATCTTGGCTTGCAGACAAAAAAACGTAAGCTGTAAGACGTAAACAAATCATTTTTGATCTACTATTTATGTTATTGTCTTACATTATTGTCTGTATTGTGATTGGTCGCTTATTGCTTATTGCTTACGTTTTATGCCTTACGTTTTTCTGTGTGTCATGGCTTTTAACATCTGTGCTCCGTTAGAAAGATTGAATATATCGGCATTTCTCTTCGACTATCAACATCTCTCTTTAACTCGATATTTTAGAAAGAGAGAAAGAAAAATCATTCAAGCTATTTCACTCTTTTTAAATCGATAGTGATTTTATAGAAATGCGCGATCTTATTATATTCTTATTACATCTATGGTTTACCTTAGCATCTCCAAATTATTATTTGTTCTGGTTGATGCATGATTTGTACGATAAAAAAATTTTAAAATATTGAAGAAATAAAGAAATAGCTTGACGAATTTAACGCAAATAGAGATCAGTCTTTTATTTGCCAGGAAGATAGAGGAAAATATTGAAAAATAATTGGAATTACTTTTATGATTGATTCATGTCAGTAATGACAACAAATATTTAATTTTATAAAAAATAGTTGATTATTTTTTTTTTGTATACCCTTAATATTTCAAATTTCGTGGAGTTTTGTTTAATTTAGTTTAAGTAGTATGCGAGAAAATAATTAGTTAGTCATAATATACAATTTCACAAAATGTTATTAATTATACAAATATTATATAGAAATATCAATTGTTATATACATACAATTTTTTTCTTAGGTAATACATCGTGGTTTCGCGTTGAGTGATATCGCAGTTAAGGGGTTAGTATAATTCCACGCTGAAAATATCTCGTGTTCATTCCTTGCTCCGTTATTTCACAAAGAGATAAATCTCTCGGCGGAAGATAACTGTTGTAACGCACCAGACATTATCGTGACGTAGTAGTGATTAATCATCGTCAACATTAATTCACTGATCTGTCGCTTTAGCGTTCTAATGACTGTAATTGGTAGTTATCAGGCATATTCACCATGCTGCTGATGCTCACTTTGACACGATTAATTAGAGCTAGAATCACAAACTGTCTCTTCGGACACTTTGCGCGATTAAATAAAATTTCCGTTAAAGAGTTCAATTCGATGAACGAATTGAAGAAATAAATAAACGATTTCAGAGAACGACGCTGAGTTAATAAAAGTAACCAGAAACAAAATTTAAATGAAGAATAAAATGTTTCTATTTCATCAACTTCGTAGTGATAAATGGACAAACGAATAGCCTATCTCAAACTTTACAATGCAAACGAATTACAAGACTTTTTTGTATGCACGTATATTCAAAGTACTGCACATATATTTCAAGACACGTGATAATTAACGTTTTTCGCAGTTCCAGCATTGTTTTTCCTGGTGCATTTTATGAAACAATACTATATATTTTACGAACAATATTTTAGTTTTTATATCGTTAAAAGTTTTTTCTTGTCTCTTCTTATTTGAGGAAAATTACCTTTAAGCTTTCTATTTTTCTGAATTCTTACAATCTTGAAATTAAGTTCAACTTTGCTCCAAGATAATTTCCGTAAAAATAAAGAACAAGATGTTACAATGTTAATTATGAAGAAAGTTCGTGACGACATCCTATGAAACATATAAAAATATTTGTTTACTCTTTTAAAGTATCAGTACATATTAGTTTCAGAGAATATCGAACACGCTTCGCATTTTGTGATTCCGTGAACTATCTTATACGTTCGTTTATTATCTCAACTAGTGAGATAAAAGTGTTTTCCTAAGTTTCTAGCACTTTTCCGTGTTGCGCAAGTCCTATTGAGTTCGGAAAGATTTTATGGTACATAATCTCGTACGTTTGACGATTAAACGCGATACTTACATCATGCACGTCTCTTTCAAACAAACAGATAAAACAACGGTTCACAGTGATTAATCAAGAATATTAAGCTTGCTGTTGGTCTTCCTTAATTGCGCTCGCCAGGGTATAATCTGACCATCATCAGAATCGTCCTTGGTAGGATCGTCTCGTTTCTCGTCGACCTCGGGTTTTTCTTCTTCCTTAATGACGCATGACGCCCGCGCCGCCGCCGGCGAGGTGTCCCTTTTCGAGTTTGACGACGGTGCCTCGATTTTTGACGTGCTCGTCGATGCGGATACCTGAGTCTGATTCAGTCTGTAATCAAACCGATAATTTGGTGCTTGAATTTTTGCGCGTGAAAATTTTTATATTAATGCTTTATTAATTAAGGAATAAAAAAATTAATTGATAAAATCATATTTTGTAATGATTGATATAATAATAAAAGAAATAGAGTAACAAAAAGGAATACGCGCGTAAGAAGATACCGAGAAAAATAAAATGTTCTTTTCCTTGCACATTTTCGCTTCTGCTTTACTTAAAAACTTGAAAAAATTTTTAATATTTTAAATAATGACACTCTATCTGGAAACGCCGAGTGTCAGCCGTTAAATTAGATAGGCTAATCTTTTAATATACGCATACAAAATATGCATAATATTATACGTATCGCGTAATTTTGCATGTAACGCGAAACGAAGGAACTTGAAGCCAATTGCAACAAGGGGCAACTGTAATGCTTGTAATAATTGGAGCACTTACTTTAGCCTCCTCTCCCCCCGTCTTGACTGCTTACATTAAAAAAACACGCGAAGTCAATCTCGTAAAATAGCACGAGATGAATCTCTTTTGAAAGATACAATTCAAATACGATGACGAGTAGTTAAAACATTCTCCGCTATATAGTGCAAAATCCATTCTAAATATGGCTTTCTCCAATCGCCGAGAACTAGCATTCAATTGCACTGATGATTGATTGATACAGATACATCCATTAATCTACCTCTTTTCCTCGTTGTCCTTCTTAGCGAGAAGCTGTCGCTTCCATGGAGGGATCGCCTTCTGGCGCCTCTCCTCGTTCTCTCGCGCTATTTGTTCCTCGAGCTCCTTTTTCGCACGTTCAGCAGCTTTTCGAGCCAGCATCTGTCGCTTCCAGATTGGTATTACATTTCCGGAGCTGTCCTTCTCGGGGATCTATTGAAAAAGAACCATGATTCGGAATTTCTAAGCTGGACTATATAAGAGTATTAAAAAGAAAAGGGAAAAACATTTAATAGGACATTAGAAAGATTAAACGTTTTTTATTTTTGTTGCATGGAGTTGTATTGCCTTTTACAGAGAATCTGATTTTCTAAAAAGGAGTATACGCTCTAAATTTAATTTCAAGCACATTAAAAGCATGTTGTTTTGCGTTCGTAGTACTTTAATTAAGTAATTAATTACTGCCTTTCGATATCTATTAAATTGGCCAGTATTAGACTTCTGTAAGGATTTCTAAAAAGTAAAACGCTCTTACTTGGTCCACAAAGTTCGTAACATTAAACGCTTTGCTAATTTCCGACATGAGATTTTGCTCCTGAGTCTTCTCGACCTGTGCCCTCTCCACCTTTAGCTTTTTGATTCCGGGTATATCCTTCGTGCGCTTCAATTCGGCAATTAGGTCTGTCTTCTGTACGAAGAACGGCTCCGAAACTGCTCCAAAAAAAAAAAACGATGTACCATTTGAATTTGTCGGCGATTCTATTTTTAAGTTTTACAACGAAGTAATCGTAAATAAATTTCGCGGAATATTCATAAACGTAACGAAACGATTTCAGGGAAAAAAAAAAAT